TATCGTACATCTTCATCGTACATCGTACATCGTAATCCTCTACATTTGTGTTTTGGGATATATAATTTTATTTTTCTTGGTTTCATGGCAAAATTGATATGCAAAATTTCTTTGCTGTATTATCTCGCCCTATATCGCCTAAATCAGATGAATGACACTCCTCAGAGACCCTTTGCGTCTCTTCAATCACGTCCTCTGATTACCATTTTTTTCGCTGTGTTTTTTTTCTAAGTACCATAAGCGATGCTTGTGAGTTTCTTCTTGCCCACCTATTTTGAGCGAAAACTTCTTGCATCGTCCCCGTCTCACACCGTATTTCCCTGGGTCTGTTGTCTGCGAGGCAGACCCACAAGTTAGCATCGTCCCCGTATCTATTTATTTATTTATTAGTTTCGCCATATATTAAACTGGAAATATAATAACTGGGGGAAAATACTGTGATATATATGACAAGGTGACCGCAACAGCGTTAAGCCAATTACTGCGGGCCCAAATAATGTCTAAAATGACACTTAGTGCATAAAGATAATTTAAGTAGATATATTGACACATTTGAATCAAATAACTAATAACTGGAGGTAGAAAGAGTGAGGCTTCTGCAAGAGTTACATTTTAAAAGCGACGCAGCGCATCTTGAAGAGACTTGAGATTTTTGTAGATTTTTGTATCATCAGCATACATGGCAACGCTGCTGGACTCGACTACTTCTGGGAGATCGTTCACGAACAGAAGGAACAAAGCTGGTCCCAAAATAGAGCCTTGAGGAACCCCGGAACCGACAGGCAGGGGTTCTGATGTAGCTCCGGCCACAGTAACACGCTGGCGGCGGTCCATTAAGTACGAATTGAACCACCGTAGAATGGTGCCACCATAACCAAACTCGCGCAATTTATGCAACAAACGACTGTGACTGACTTTGTCAAAGGCTTTGGACATGTCCATATAAATCACATCAATCTGTTCGCCGTTGTCTAGCAATGATCCGATGTGATCCAAGACTTCAAGGACGTTGGAGGTGCAGGATTTTCCGCTGAGGAATCCATGCTGACAAGTGTTGATCACACTGTACAGTTGATCTTTGATGTTGTTGAGGACACATCGTTTTAGGATTTTTGACACCAGAGAAAGCAAAGATATAGGTCGATAGTTCTCTGCATGCTCGGGATCACCTTTTTTGAATACAGGTACAATGTTCGCTTTTTTCCACTCCTGCGGGAAGACTCCAGTATTGAGGGATTTATTGAATAGCTTGCAGAGGGATGGTGCAATTAAAGAAGCAGTCTCCTTGAGCAGTTTTGGTGGAATGCCATCTGGTCAGGTTGCTTTTGTGACATCTAGAGATTCTAGCACATTTTGAACTTCACTAATTTCAAGCGTTAGTTGACATGTAGTAGGTTCAGGAACTGCGCTGTTGGATGTCACGGTAGGTTCACCATGCGAGTAGACTGATGCAAAGTATGTGTTGAATAGGTTGGCAATTTCCAGAGGCGTGTCAGCTGAACATCGAAGAGCTTGATCGTGTGTAGCTTGGTCATTTGTACTYATGATTCTTTCCATGCTGATGCGATCAGGAATCGAGCGTGATTTAGATTTCGTCTTTAAGATACATCAGAAGCGCTTTGGATTGTTGTACAAATCTGCCGCAAGGGAACCAAAGAATTCCTCTCGACTGTTCCTTATCATGTGCTTTACTTGTGCTCGCAAGGATGAGAACCTCTGTTTTAGAAGATTATTCGTAGGATATCTCTTGAGTTTTTTTCTTACAGTGTCTTTCTTCTTGATCAGATTTACTATGGCTCCGTTGATCCACGGCACAGGGTTGCGTCCCTTGAGTCTCTTAGTTGGTATGTATTTAGAGACGGTTGCAAGAAATGTTTCCTTCCAGGCAAGCCAATCGGTGTTTATATCATCATGATCTATGGTTGAAGAAAGGTTAGCCGTCAAAAGAGCCTTGCGTAGACCTTTGAAGTCTCCATTGCGACGATAGTTGTACACAGATCTGTGAGATTTTGCCAGGCCTTTAATGATTGATTTTCTAAAGTTTTTCTTTTTTTTTTTTTTTTTTTTTTTTTTTTTTTTTTTTTCTTATCTTCTTCAAAAATGTTCATGTCGAATTCGTTATAAAACGACGGACTTTTTGTTTGCCGGTTTTCCGCACAATCCAAATATGGAATATATCATATACCATATATGGAGTGAGCTTTCTCTACTCCAACTTCGACACTAACAAAAGGTAAATCTTGATATGATCGGGTAATATATGTTAAGCAATGCAATGTCATAAAAGATATGATCTTCGAAGCTAAAATGAACTACTATTCCAAATTAATCTCTGATTCTGGTTCTGATAGTACAGCTCTTTTCCGTACAAGAGATCATCTTCAAGTTTTTCAAGAAAAAGATAATTAATATATATACGCAGTTAAATGCCTTCTCTTGGTTCTGAACTAAATCGTTTTTCTGAACTTAATCATACCACCCTTAACTGTCGTTTAGATTCCTTCAAACCAACTACTTGCGATAAATTACTACTAATATCAAAGAAGTTGTCATCGAAATCCTGTTGTTTAGATCCTCTTCTTTCAAGTCTTTTAATTGGTCATTACGGTACCTTACTGCCTGTCATCTGCAAGATTATCAACTCATCTCTTGAAAAAGGTTATGTCCCTCCTTCATTAAAACAAAAGGCTGCCGCTGCACAACTTAACACCTACTTGACAATAAATGATTTCCATGAACCTTTCCAAAGGAGGATATTTATGTCGTCCCACAATGCATTGCTCGAAAATTCGCACCTCCTATGCTTCAGAGAAGCAAGATGGCGCCTGAAAAGTGCTGTTTTGGCGATCTTTTGGAATAATGAAATCTTGTGCCTTGAAGCTACTATGGTTGGTAACCGGTTGTTTGCGCTTTCTTTAGTTATTGATCTTGGATTATTTTATTTTTTTAAACAAAAACATAGCAAAGAAAGCCTTTTTTTAAATCAAAGCACTCCATATGTATATTTTGAATTGTATCCTAGGTTCACAATTTTGGTGCTTTTCAACAAAAATGTATATAATGGAAAATTTTAGGCGATGTGTAATTCAGACAAGTTAAAAAGACCTCAAGAGACCCTCGATTTATTAGTCAATTCCTAGAGCGCTAAAAAGACAGAATGTTATATATTCGCAAACTTTAAATTGTAAAAAAACAGAAATTCACTATGATTCCACGAGCAGGACCAATTTTAAAACTCGTACTCGTACTCTATCTCGTACTCGCTGAAGGATCTAAAGGTCGCTATTTACTTTATGCAAGACCAGTACTGAAAGTATTGTCAAAGGGTTCATGTGAGCTTTAGCAATATTATCATAATGTGAAACTGCCATGATTTTTTGAATTCGTTCGTTGAATTTAGATTTGAAGAAAATTCTAAGATTTAGCCGGTTTCTAATTTCACGCGAAAGTCATTTATAGAGCATCCTTGACCCGGGGGAGAGAATAGTGTCAAAAGATGTTTCATAGGGAGGGGAGGGGGGAACACAAAACACTAGTGCCCAGTGTTCGGGGGAACACATAACTCGGGGGAACCCAAAACCCTGTGACACCGTGATTGGTTCCGAAGTTTATCCATTTTTGAAGACCTCGATGGACTTATGGTTGATTGGTTCCGAAGTTTATCGATTCGTTCCGAAGTTTATGGATCAAGAAGTTTTGGGCTTCCTGTGGTGTTACGGACTTACTCAATTACATAACTCGATGACATAGTGGCTTGGCCTCTACAAGGCAGCAACCACAAAAAAAAAAAAAAAAACAAACAAACAAAAAAAAAAACTACCACAGGTAGCCCAAGTAAAAAAACAGCACAGGGCAGAGGACTCTTTCGACCACGCAGTATCATTATAAAATAAAAGAATATTTCCTATAGCAAACCCTAGCTAATTCGTAGGGTCTGGGTATGAAACCAAGAAGCTCGCTCTAGGTGACCGCTTAGGCCCTGGCTAAACGAGGAAACATGTTTCTCGCGCGCATGTTCCCCGATGATTCCAAGTTTAGCCACATGCGAAACACTGCTACGTGCAACGAATTTTGCTTCCAGGACGCAAAAATGTTTCTGCTGTGCAGCAGAAACATTTCATGCTTCCAAGACGCATGGAAACAATGTTTCCCAGTGTTTACTCGTTTAGCCACGAAAGTCAACATTCTAAAAGTTCGTTACTTAGCAACGCTAGCTCTATCTTGAAAGTGCGCATGCGCTAACCGATATTGAGTAAACATGTTTCCGATGTTCCCTGACAGTTTTGCCACCTTTGGAAACATTTAAGAAATAATGTTTCTGTTTCTGTTTTCGTTTAGCCAGGGCCTTAGACTCTTCCACAGTCTCTCGCTCGTCCTTTCAGTCCCCACGCTTAGAGACTGTAACAGTACAATTACCGGAAGGACTTATGGGTCCCGAAACCTTGGACCTAGCGTGCTTTGGGAACCAAAATACTCGTCCACAGTATTTTGGGGACCAAGTTTTCGGGACCATAAGTCTTTTCGGTAATTGTACCGTTACAGTCTCTAAGCGTGGAGACGGAGCGGACGAGCGAGAGACTGTGGAAGAGTCTAGGTGACTCGCTCTGGCCGCGATATTTACTTCCTCACTCAGACAAACATATCGATGAGAGGCTATTTATGTCGTTAACAAGAAGCTCCGCTTTTCCCTTCTCCCTTTTATATATTTCATTTGGCTTTCCGGATTAATGAAATGAGGTTTTGGGCTGATTATCTTTTTGTTCTCGGGATTCTTCAAACATCAAGTAAGTTATGTTATGCTTAAATTTTAAAAGCGTTCTTCCTCGTTGCTTTACTGAAACTTAAGGTCATAAGCTTTTAGAGCTTTAAAATGCTTGCAAGGTTAGACGTCGTTAGTGCTTCAGTATTGCTATAGAAAATTATGATAATAATAATTCAAGTGTATAAGGATATGTATTTTGAATGTACAATAATAGGTTTCTTTAGCTTTAACACCAAGGTAAATTATACTTTCATGGAAACCACCACTTCGGAAGCTCAATGAACGCCTCGGTTTGAAAATACCGTGGAGGTGAGAAATTGTTTGCCTTTTTTTAAAAAAAGCTTTATCTTATTTATGCTTAGAAATGTTCAACTTCGTTTTGTCTTGCAGACAGTCTGATTGTATTGAAAAGTTTTGATGCTTCAGTTAGTTTTATGGAAGGCAGGACAGCTTATCTAAATTGGAACGCTAATTTCTCCGAAGTCGGCGAGACGTGGTTCCGCGTCAAGATCGAGAGAGCCAAAGATACCACTGTGAATTCGCCGAAAGAAGTTGTTGTTAAAAAGTTTGTCCAATCTGGCACCGTCAAAGAAACGGTATACCTTACGTCTAGAGCTGCAGACATTGCTCTAAATATCAGTTCAATGTCAAGTAATGTAAGCATTACATTTCTACTGAGAAACKTGAACCCMACTACCGATGATATGTACTACATCTGTACCGTTTCATCTAATACTGGAAATACCGAATTCAAGTCTGTTTGGCTACTCATTTTAGGTAAGACTTAGGTACTAAAGAAATAGCCGTGAATCAGTAGCGCCAATCATGGTTAATAGACTATGCGCAAATAAATAACACGTTAATGTTTTCAATTTTGCTAAATACCCGGCAACCGAGAACTACACCATGTTGTTGTGGGGAGTAGACCCACATGGTACCATTATTCTAATTAAATGATTTTACCTAGATAGATATATAGATTAGTTTGCATTTGTATAGGTATTAAATATTATTGTAAAGAGCATAAGGACTCGTTTTATGCGCTTTTAAGAATTTATTATTATTATTATTATTATTAGAAAGATTCCGTTTCGCCCCAGCGGTTTTGGATTTCGATGTAAATGTACTCGGGTGATAGTTCGAAGATATAATCAACTGAATAGGCTTTAGCTGTACTTCGATTGACCACCACGAGTGCCTCTGAAGCGTTTCAGGATACCAGCTCGTTTGAGATCGTTCCAAACTGAAACAGAAAGTGGTTTATAACCAGTACAGGGTTAGGGTTAGGTTGGTTTACAGTCCTCCACCAGAACCGCAGAGACATCAAAGGACCTCTTGAGTAGCTCATGATCATATAAGCATGAATGATCAGAAAGAGTCTGAAATAAAATCAAAAAAACTAAGAAAAATACGTTAAAAAAGGATTCGTTTGGAGCTGTATAAAAGCAGCCCAACGGCGCACAGGTAGCCCAAGTGCAGAGCTAGTGAAGATGCAAGTTTACTGAATTTACAATGAGATGAATGTTAGAATTTCTAAGGCTAACAATATAAGCTTGCAGTAGAGCTTCGACTTTTATTTTGTGGATAAATATGTCATAAAGACATGTATAGCTTGATAGTTGAGGAACACTTTGGTGCTAAGATTTGAGTCAGAAATTGTGTTTTTGTGGGGCCTTTGTGCTGTCCAAAAATCTGCATTCACTGCCGAGTGTATACAGCGATTTCCACTTGAGCGCACAGCGTGTCGAATTTGTTGATTTTGAAACGTTCGCTAATTAGCGCTTTTGAAGTGTCAGACAGTCTGTCTCGGTCGGCCAAACGTTGCTTGATCGTAACGTTGGCGTTCTTGGGAAAATGTCACAACACGATGTGTTCTTTTAACGATGGAGCAATGTTTGACCGACATTTTTCATTTTTCTATTAAGGAGCGATAAACTGAAATAATATATTTACAAATACTTTGTTGTCAGAGCATTCAAAGCCGTGCCATGTTTTCATTTTTCTCAATATAAGATTCTTGTCAGTTAACTTGCACTTTCTTTATTGTTTCTGTTCTTACCGTTTAAAATTCTTCTTGAATACATGTGAATAAGTTGTCTTTTGGATTTTTTCTGTTCGTTTAGTGAATCCTTTTAAAATGCCATCATTATCTCACGGCAGTAGTCAGTTGTTTGTCAGTCGTAAGGTCTGCACATGAAAATCTCAGCGAAATCTGACGGCCGCATTTTCGTGTTAAAATCGTCAATTCCTTTCCTTGATACAGTCTTGTCTTTTCTACAATCGATTTTTAAAGATATTTTTTAGAGAATAAGCAGAGATTTCGACGAAACTTGAGCATGCACTTGTATATTTTTCGCTACTCGCTATCTATCACAGGATAGATAGTGAGTACGTTAGCCAATCAGATTGCAAGATTCGTGATAGTATGCTAGTAGGTTTATGCTAATTCCGCTTATAACATGATGAAGATAGGTGAGATGCATATTTTGTTGCCAACGATAGCTGTTAGCTATATATAGGTCTAGTAATAATATTGCGTTACATGCGCTAATATATTACAGTGGTAGCCCACCTTCATACACCAACTTGCAAGAACGTTCTCGTACGAAAATAGAACAGTGATTTAGTGGGATAGGAATTATATTAAAAAACAAAAGAATATCGCTGAAGCTGAACTTTTTCTTTTGTCTTTTAATGTATTCCTTTCTCACTAAATTACTAATGTTCTAATATGGTATGACAACGTTCTTGCAAGTAGGTGTATATGATGTGAGACCATCGCTGAAGACGACAGTAACTATATTTGTTTTAACCAAAAATTTATTTATTGTTGAAAGACCATGAACTCCGTAAAGATCTGAGTTATGTCCACTTTTCAATAATGGAATCACTGGTAATAGTTTTCTTTTCTACACTGCTCTTCCATTCTTCAGGTAAGGATATAAGGTTTATTGGAGCAATAGAAATATGACTAAACGATAACGGATCAAGATCACTTTCGGTTATTTTCTAGATGCTGGAACATTCACTTGGATACATTCGGACGATACAGTGAATGTTGTGGAAAGTGACACGGCAAAGCTCAACTGGAGTGTTGAAAGTATTACAGAATAACTGTTAATGACGATGATCCGGACAGTTCTGCGAGGTACACAAAGCTGAACGTGGATGGTAAGCAAGGGATACTCTGGAGCCTACAAGTTTACATTTTACGATTTAAATGAATATATCCGGATCATTTTGTGTTTACGCACCTCCTGAATGTTTAAATATGCGGCTTCATTTTTTAATATGAAATTCTTGCTTATTTTATTCGACGACAATGTGCCATTATTTACTTCCGGGTACGAATAAAGATTAACGATAAGAATAATTTATTTAATGTCAATAACACAGGGAGCCTGTTGCTCATGTTAAAAGTGCTTGACAAGTTCACGGATTACATATACATAATATATACGTGATATACACTCAATTGAAGAATCGTTGTCGGGTTCAGAAACATAGAACATAAAAGCTGAGACCGAAATGACACATGGGAAATGACATAATTATATTATAATTTATTCATTTGCGCCATCCATGCAGTCGGTTTAGAATGCCAAACGCGTATTAAAAACAGTGGATGATGCCACGGGTCGCCAGTCACAGCATGCATCTAATTAACGTACTTCCCATGTGCCATTTTGTTTCTGAACCCGACAACGATTCTTCAATTGAGTGTATACTTATTTCAATCAAGTAATTATACAGAAGAAAAATGTTTTATTTATAGTTCGATAGTGTTTGTGGTTTTCGACACCGCGATATGCACTGTCAGTCAATACAGGCTCTCATGTTGAAGGGACCCCGAAGTACTTTAGGTATTACTTTACATAATAAACTAAAACTTTACGTRAAAATTGCCAAAAAGGATAAATATTTACGGGTGACGAGTCTGGACCTTCATCATAAATGTTGGTTATAATGCTTTTCTTTCGACACTAATATGTGCTGTCAGTACAAACAAGCTCTCCTGTTGTTGGGAACCCTGAAGTACGTTATGCATTATACGATACGAGTGATTCGAGTGCTGTAAATATTAAACACCTGGAGTTGACCACTAATTGTCATTCGTAGGGCATACTGTAAAACATGGACTAGACTTGAGTTTGTTTAAAGGTCATATATAAAGTAGTGGCCATAAGATGATAAAAGTCAAGTACATCTTTATCAGTACGTATACCAGTWTATCATGATCAATAACATAATAGCCCATCAGTCCATCATGCATTGCATTGAATTAAAGTWAAGTTGCACAAGAACAACACAACGTACGTAACAGTGCCTATCCTGTATTTGTATGTCGATATATCAATTAATTGTTAACCTAGGCGGCGTGGTTCGTTTTTCATAAAAATGTAAATCCCAAGCTTATTACATGCTGCGTTTTAGAACTTTTATGTTCAAAAAGCCTGTATTTAAAAAAAGGTTGGTGAAGTTTTTGTTGCATTGCATGTCGCATAGCAGGTCCAGATCGCGAAATACACTATGGGCGATGTAAATACAAATAGTAATCTATTTCATAATGCTCGCATTCATGCCCAGTTGAATTAAGTATGGGGAAAAATCTCGATTCAGCGGCCTAAGTCAAGCTGGCACGGCTTCGCTTAGGGGACGGCAACGACCCACGCGAATCGAAGGGGGGCGGGTGGGCCGCTTCGTCTTTTACCGCTGGTAAAACTGAGCAAGAATGCAATACCTCTGCTTAACAGCCGTATTTATGGCTAAGATATTACGTAATCTACGTGAA